CTCAAGAAAATTCACCTGCCTTGGCCCCGGCAACCTGGCAGTATTCGAGCCACATGCAACTCATGGAACGTTTTTCTTTTTTACCAAGATTGTTGTACCATGATTTGCTTGGCACACAGTCTGGATTCAGACGTGTGTGAAATATAAATAGATAAATAATACTCAATCACTTCCGTATTGATCGAAAACAAAGGTAGCCAAGTGAACTAATAAAGTGACGCATGAAAGCTTTATGTCTGTGACAAGCAAAACTGAACCCGAGATATACTACACAAGACCCTCAGTGAACTGTTCCTGAATGCGAAGTTCAAGGAGCGCTGTGAACAAGGACAATACATATCCGGGAATAATCGCACGTATTTTTTAAACTGCACTGGGCTGGTGATCAACCGTTGACAATCCAACCCCACCACCCGCTCAAAAGTCAATTGAGCACTGCTTGTGTTGTATTCGTCAATTATGTGACTATCTGACTACATTGCAGAATTGTAGAAACCGATTCTAACCAGTTTCGGTGAACACAACCAATCAACCGTGCATCACGCATTTTACCGCTGAGTGTCACACGGATGAACGTACCAATTAAGATCGTTACGTGTTGTGCACAGGACGAACCACACTTACCAATCCGATTGGTCGAACCGATGAAGTTGAACAGAGAAGAAAGTACAGCCAGAATCTAGAAGGTAGAAAGGTGGCAATATCTGAGTAAACGAGTGGAGTATTCAGAAATGACTTACACTCATCAAACAAATGAAATGGGTTCACATTTTATCATATTTTGGGCGCCATTTAATGTAATGGACGACAGAGAAGACAGAGAAAAAGAACTGCCCGATTATGAAAAACCGATGACCAAAATCCCCAGGATTCGGAATGATGAACTGCTTAGGGTTTGAATAGACAATCTATGGTAGAAATGTTGGCAAATGCCGATCGGGCCCTCTGTGTGTATGTGTGCCAACAAACACTTCATCCGTGATGCGTCCACCGGGTGATGTAGCTGCCAAAATAGTTAAATCTGTCCCATTCCTNNATTCCTCTACTACTTTCCACGCACATACCTCCGCCAGCCGATGTGCAACTCCTGAGGTAGACAAAATTTTCGATTACTTCTGAGTGTCAGTACCCAAAGGAAGTGCAGGAACGGGTTCCTACCAATCTTGCAGCAATAATTTGCACTTTGAAGGTCCAAATGATATACCATAACGAGTAACCTTAAGCTGTGAACGACTCTGGAATCGTCGGTGCGTTGTCCCCGAGTAAGGTAATATTATCAGTCTACGAATCTGTCTCCATGAAGAAGCTGGACGCCAGCGTTCGTTATGTTATGTAACTCGATCTCTTTACGCTAACGAGTCCGAACTTACGAAACATTTTCACCCGAGTTCTCTACAGAAAGCAATGTTCGTCAGGGTTGTGGTCTTTTTCTTCTTCGCTATTTAACTTCGTAATAGATTTGATTATAAAGACAGCTCTGTTCTCTTGCGAGGACAGCGGCATGGATTTACCCCCTTGGTAACAAAGTGCTTAATATGGAGTATGCAGATAATATTTTACTACTAAGTGAAGTTTGAGTGCTAGCGTCCGGTATGTGTTGTACACCTTCGAAGTGTAAAATGTTGCTACAAAACTGGATTGGTTGACTTTGGGTATGTATTTCGCATGCCACCTAACATATTGCCACCCAGCGCGATATATTTCAAGACAGGTTATGGGTGGAAAAAAGCCAAGGGCGGCCAAACTAAGACCTGTAATGAGGATATGACGACCGTAACCAAGAGATTCGGTCATATAGGCCATGTTAGGCTGACTCGAGCTGAGACTGCATTGCAAGCATAATTGACGGGTGCAAATGTTATCTCACCGTTGAAAACCAGTCTTAATCACACTCAAGTACAAACATAGACTTGTGAAGTGACGAGTTTGAAACTATTCTTTCAGACTTGAATTAGATGGCATACACGTTGATTTACCCCGGGACCTATTTGATGAATACCTTTAGTAACTTGTCAAATCAGATCCCACGTATATGGGATTATCAAAACATTAATAATAATAAATTACCATACTACTACGCATTTGATTTGGTCTACCGTGTTAAACGCTAAGCCATGTAAAAAAAAGTGATAGTATGATATAGTCGTGGCGCAGTAGTAGTTTAGTCGCTGTCATCGGCGTGCTTTGGACCCTATGGTCCGAGGTCTGAGCCTCGCGACCGCCACCGCCACCCACGAACTTTGGTGGTAGGCAGCTATGCTTTCATAAGGTTCAATGTCATGCCTATTTTAGTGGGACCTTAAGTGGTTCGCCACTGGAAGTTCCGGGGCTTGGGTTACCGGTTTCCATCGGTGAACGGTAGGCCCTCGTGACCATAGGTTTCCCCCGTTCTGTATGGTATGTAATAAAAAATATTTGAAAAAACTAACACAGAAATAAATGTCCTGCAACATGGAGCGGAAAGACTGAGTGCGTGTCTGTTTGTATCTCGCTACCTGGTTTCCGGTAAGGAGTTCAGCGGTACACTGAAATATTTTGAGCAACGTCGTTACGAATGATGGGATGAACATTTTAAAGCACATTTCAGATGGACCCCACCGACACTAGACCTCCCAATTCCTGCTTCAACCAGGCAAATACTGTCAGTTGATAACATTCAGCTTGGTGAAATGGAGGGTTCTAAAGAAAGTTATCTCGAAAGGTATAAATATGACTTTTGACCAGGATTGGTTGCCCCAATTGGTTCTCAAGGATGTATATTCAACCTTGATCTTGGGGTTGACGAAACTCCTGGGTTCGGTATGGGAGAGCAACACATGCTCCACCGAAATAGTTTGAGTCGGTCACAGATTGGCACACTTTTTTATTACACACCTAAGTGTGATGAACAGCAGACGGGGCGAACCCCATAGTCACGAGGACCTGCTGTTCGGTGATGGAAACCGGTAACCTAAGCCCCGAGACTTGGAGTGGCCGATCACATAAGGCCTCGATAAGTTAGGCGTGGTATTGAACCGGACGACAGCAGAGCTGCCTACCACCAAAGTAAGGTGATAGATCCTCTTGTAAAAACCACGGGAGAATCAGTTCCGTGTAGGATTAGGAAAACCATACTCACCAGAATTAAACCCACATTGATTAACCACATTCGAACAAGTGGTTGAAATAGTCCACTGGAATCGGTTAAGGCCGCATGCGGTGCGGACGGGGCAATGCTGGGTGTTGATGTGGCCGAATACGAGTCCATCATACGTGTACGCAGCTGAACTCGACGATTCCGTTCGAGGCGGTGCAACTGGACCTCTTCCATTGCACGCGCTTTCGGGTCTAGTGCGATCAGTCGCCGATGCATACGCCAGAGCCGAGTGGGAGCGGCCAGAAAATCACCCAGCCCGGCAAGAAAGCCCTGGCCGGAAGACATAGTTGAAACCGAACAGAGCGATATATATATATATATATATTTGTAGCGACAGAGAGGATCGAAATGGCAGCAGGGTACACTCGGCGGACAACGACTGAATCGCAAACTTTGGAGTTGTTTTATATCATGGAAACAGATTGTACCAATCACCGGGATTGCTCTGACCATAACGCGTATTCAGTAGATTTGAAGATGACGGCAGTGGTTTTCCACGTTCGTATCAGCCCGCCGGGATGGATGGAGAATTCGAACAGAAAGAGAGAATGATACCAGTGATAAACAAGCTGCGGAAAATTGAAACCATTGATAATTTGAGTCTTTTCTATCAAACATAAATCAGATTGAAAGTGGATGAAAATAAAGCGCATTTGAACTAACCAGAGATTGTGGAGCGCGTTACAGATAAGAATGAAAACTTGATCCGAGCAATAAACCAGGAAGACAACTTGGTTCGAATCTAAGATAAGCAGGCTTAAAAAATGAGTCCAGAGGTCATGCACTGTGAAGTTGGCGGGTCTCTTTCCTTCAATCTTATCATTTTATACCCTCCTTACACTTGGATTTCAACTTGCCCAACCTTTCGTTTTATCCATTGTCTGGTTAACCCTTTTTATTACTTGTTATTGCGTGGTGACAGCCTGCGATTTGGGATAGATGTGGTATCGCCTGGGAAGATAGCGCAGGGTTTGAAAGTCAAATCTTTAAATCCAGTGACAGCTATCTGAAAAACCTGACCATCACTATTATTACTTTGTAAGGTTGGTGGTCGGGGCCGCCTTCAAACGGAACATTTGTTCACTAAATGACGAACACGATGTTTCAGTTTCAGTTTTTACAACCATTACCCACACACTCTCGTCAGCCCGTTTTGGTTGTCTTTTAGACGCCCATTTGGATAAAAGAGTAGAACGAAGATCGGAATGCTGAGCAAATTCAAGCGGAAGATAGAGAATTCGTATACACTGAGGTGGCAAGAACAATGAGTAGATGCATGAGCACCACTGTTTGCTCAGTATCTCTAACCACCGGTTGCCATCATCTCGGGGTCCCAACGAAGGACGCCTACCGGGACCTGTCACCCAGTGGACCGATTAGGGTTTTCATACCCCTCATGCCCGATTTAAGTTTGACCACCATTCTAGTTTTTTTCCAAATGTCACCTACCTCGGCAAACATCGCGTTCTGGGGTAACCTATCTGATGACATGCGTAACATATGCCCCAACCAACGTAATCTATGGAGGTGGATCACTTGCTCCAGTGGACACTCGCGTTCACCTAAAACTCTGCGCCTAATCTCAGAATTGCTCGACCGGTTTCCCAACCAGACTCGTGCAATGCGACGTAGACAGCGGTGTGCGAACACCGACAGTCTATCTGTATCCTGTTTCCACAATGACTAAATCTGCCCGGACTGATGCAGCATATAATCGACCCTCCACATAAAGTCGGATGTCGCAACGGTGCCATAGATGTCTCAAGTTGGCAAACGTCAACCGAGCCTTCTCTGTGTGCGTCGACAGTTCATCCGTGATGCGTCCGCCAGGTGAGATATAGCTGTCCAGATTGCAAAATTTGTCTACTTCCTCTCATACTTACCCAGTCAGGGTGAGGTTAAGGACTGGATCAACCCAATCTTGTAGCATCATCTTACACTTTGAAGGTGCAAAACGCATACCGAACACGGCTACACTAGCACTCAAACTATCCAGAAAAGCTTGCGACTTACTTGGATCTTCATTTAGTAGCACAATATCGTCTGCATACTCTCGATCAATCTTCCAACTGGGAGCGGATCGAAGGCACTATCCCCGCACGAGGATAGGGTTGTTTCCAATAATTAAATATATGATAAAGTTGAATAAGAAAGGAGAGGGCAACCCTGTTGAAATCCACTTTCTGTAGTGAACTCGGGTTAAAAAGTGCCGTAAGCTCGGACTCGGTTTCGGCTGTTAGTACAAACCGACTGTAATACTGAAATCAACTTCTCTGGTACACCCTATTGAGAGAGGCAGCACCAGAGTTTGGAGCAGTCGACTGAGTCGAAAGCTGCTTTCATATCGGGGAAGATAGAAATGGTGGGTCTACGAGAGGAGCTTCTGTGTTCTAGAATTTGAAGAAGAGTGAATATGTGATCGATACAACCTCGACCAGGTTTAAAACCAGCCTGTTTCTCACGTGCGGACTCTTCACGAGCGGCCGACAATCGAGAAGGCGGCATGTTAACCGATGCAACAAAGTGTGCAGACGCGGAGAGCAGCTAGTTGAAAAAAAGAGATTTTGGTTTCAAAAATCTGATAGCCTCTGAAATAGTTGA